TATCATTCTCAATGGGGAAAAGCTGAGAGCTTTTCCCCTAAGGTCAGGAACGCGGCAGGGATGTCCACTCTCACCACTGCTATTCAACATAGTATTAGAAGTCCTAGCCACAGCAATCAGACAACAAAAAGAAATCAAAGGCATCCAAATAGGCAAAGAGGAAGTCAAACTCTCACTCTTTGCAGATGATATGATACTGTATGTGGAAAACCCAAAAGACTCTACCCCAAAACTGCTAGAACTCATACAGGAATTCAGTAAAGTAGCAGGATATAAAATCAACGCACAGAAATCAGTGGCATTCCTATCCACCAACAAGACAGAAGAGAGACAAATCAAGGAGTCGATCCCATTTACAATTGCACCCAAAACCATAAGATACCTAGGAATAAATTTAACCAAAGAGGCAAAGGATCTGTACTCAGAAAACTATAAAATACTCATGAAAGAAATTGAAGAAGACACAAAGAAATGGAAAAATATTCCATGCTCATGGATTGGAAGAACAAACATTGTGAAGATGTCAATGCTACCTAGAGCAATCTACACATTCAATGCAATCCCCATCAAAATACCATCCACCTTTTTCAAAGAAATGGAACAAATAATCCTAAAATTTGTATGGAACCAGAAGAGACCCCGAATAGCCAGAGGAATATTGAAAAAGAAAAGCAAAGCTGGCGGCATCACAATTCCGGACTTCCAGCTCTATTACAAAGCTGTCATCATCAAGACAGTATGGTACTGGCACAAAAACAGACACATAGATCAATGGAACAGAATCGAGAGCCCAGAAATGGACCCTCAACTCTATGGTCAACTCATCTTTGACAAAGCAGGAAAGAATGTCCAATGGCAAAAAGACAGTCTCTTCAACAAATGGTGTTGGGAAAATTGGACAGCCACATGCAGAAGAATGAAACTGGACCATTTCCTTACACCACACACAAAAATAGACTCCAAATGGTTGAAAGACCTAAACGTGAGACAGGAGTCCATCCAAATCCTAAAGGAGAACACAGGCAGCAACCTCTTCCACCTCAGCCACAGCAACTTCTTCCTAGAAACATCGCCAAAAGCAAGGGAAGCCAGGGCAAAAATGAACTATTGGGACTTCATCAAGATAAAAAGCTTTTGCACAGCAAAAGAAACAGTCCACAGAACCAAAAGACAACCGACAGAATGGGAGAAAATATTTGCAAAGGACATATCAGATAAAGGGCTAGTATCCAAAATCTATAAAGAACTTATCAAACTCAACACCCAAAGAACAAATAATCCAATCAAGAAATGGGCAGAAGACATGAACAGACATTTTTCCAAAGAAGACATCCAAATGTCCAACAGACACATGAAAAAGTGCTCCACATTGCTCGCCATCAGGGAAATCCAAATCAAAACCTCCATGAGATACCACCTCACACCCGTCAGAATGGCTGAAATTAACAAGTCAGGAAACAACAGATGCTGGCGGGGATGTGGAGAAAGGGGAACCCTCCTACACTGTTGGTGGGAATGCAAGCTGGTGCAGCCACTCTGGAAAACAGTATGGCGGTTCCTCAAACAGTTGAAAATAGAGCTACCATACGATCCAGCAATTGCACTACTGGGTATTTACCACAAAGATACAAATGTAGGGATCCGAAGGGGTACGTGCACCCCAGTGTTTATAGCAGCAATGTCCACAATAGCCAAACTGTGGAAAGAGCCAAGATGTCCATCAACAGATGAATGGATAAAGAAGAGGTGGTATATATACACAATGGAATATTATGCAGCCATCAAAAGGAATGAGATCTTCCCATTTGCAAGGACGTGGATGGAACTGGAGGGTGTTATGCAGAGTGAAATAAGTCAATCAGAGAAAGACATGTATCATATGACCTCACTGATATGAGGAATTCTTAATCTCAGGAAACAACCTGAGGGTTGCTGGAGTGGTGGGGGGTGGGAGGGATGTGGTGGCTGGGTGATAGACATTGGGTAGGGTATGTGCTATGGTGAGCACTGTGAATTGTGCAAGACTGTTGAATCATAGATCTGTACTTCTGAAACAAATAATGCAAGATATGTTAGGAAAAAAGAAAAAGAAGAAGATAGCAGGAGGGGAAGAATGAAGGGGAGTAAGTCTGAGGGGGAGACAAACCATGAGAGACGATGGACTCTGAAAAACAAACTGAGGGTTCTAGAGAGGAGGGGGGTGGGGGATGGGTTAGCCTGGTGATGGGTATTAAGGAGGGCACATTCTGCGTGGAGCACTGGGTGTTATGCACAAACAATGAATCATGGAACACTACATCAAGAACTAATGATGTAATGTATGGTGATTAACATAATAATAAAAAAATTTAAAAAATAAAATAAAATAAAGAAAAAAAATTAAAAAGGGAGGTGCTTACCAAAATATATATATATTATATATAATATATAAATATAATAATATATAAACATATATAATAAATGTATATAATAGTATAAATATATAAATATAATAATGTGTCTCATCCCTACTTTTCTCTCTTTGAATCAGTCTGACGTGTGACTTCTAGAAGAATGCCAATTATAAATCAGTGGTTACTAACAAAAGAGAAAACAAAATAAGAATCTGATGGCTGCTTAGAACTAAGTAGCTGAAGCGCTTTGATGTACTTCATGATATATTCTTGAAGGGACAGAGGGAGAGAGAACCTCGTTGGCTAGTCTGCACAGGGACATGTAAACTACTAAGTCATTTGAGATGGAGACATTTATTTACTCGAGGGAATGTTTGTTACTATATTGTAGCTACCATCGGAAATTCGTGAAAGGAGACCGAACATTTGGAAAGATTGATACTTGATTTTCTTTCTGGTGGTCAGCAATTTACTGCTAATGCCTGAAATAGAGCAAAAATGGTGGTGTAGAGTCGATGGGAGAGAGCTTAATGTGGCCACTTGCTCAAGCCCCAAAGTATTGAAGTCTGCTGCGCTTAATTCTGTCCAGGGCCAGCCTGTGAATAATTATATTAAGGAGTTGGGCAGAGTCGTCACAGAGCTACCAAATACCACCCTGGGGGCCTCCCTGGAAACTGATGGGAACTTTGGAGAGTTGACAATGGTGATACGAGGGTCTGTATATTTAAAATGCACCAAGGATGAGCCCAGAAATTATCTGCCTGCCAACTTAACTTCTCTACCTGGAACAAATTATCCAAAAATCAATTTGCAAACACCTTTGAGATAACAAGGCCTTGAGTAATAACCTTCATGGCTTTGTAAAGAAAAGCATCTGGCCTGACTAATCTGCTTAATTTCCTTCTCTGACCAAATGGCAGGCTATAATAGAGGTAACCTGAAGTTGTCCCTTAAGATTTGCTTCAAGTCACACTGAGAAAATATTGTCCACCTCTGTTTCATAGCAATTATTCTGTCTCTGGAGAATCTTTGTGGCTAGGTAATTAGTTAAAAAGCAAACATGGAAGGAGTCTGATCTATCCTGAAGCTCTCACCTGAGTTTCAGACTGAAACCTCTACCTCCCTTACCCACCTGAATAGCCCAGAGGCCCTCCAAAAGTTCTTGACCATATCTATGTTGTACTCCACCCCCAGATGCCTCCTCTCACCCTCCCCTTCCTAATTCTACCCCAAGAGTCACTAACTTGTTCGTATCCATTGACAGACCCCATTCCTGGCAGTTGGTTCCAAAAAAACATAAGACAAGTGAAACTGGAGTCATTTGCACAGAGCTGTTCATTGCAGCATTATTTACCGTAGCAAAACTTGGAACTCATGTGCCCAGAAATTTGCGATTAGTTAGTGTGATTACCTGATAGATGGTTCTGTAGCTATTTAAGACAGTGACGACAAAATCGACGTTGCAAACAAAGTCTTTAGAATGTAATAAGTGAGGGAAGAAAAACATTGGGTCTGAAAAAGCCTTAAATATATGAATACAAATTGGAACATGGAGAAATAAAAACGGCTATTATATGGGGTCGTAGGGAAGGGGACTTATTTCCTTTTTGTTCTTATTTTCTGTATTGTTCCACTGGTATATTCTGCTACAGACAAGAATAGCAAATATATACACTTTGATTTTTAGAAAATGGACATCTAGAGGCAAACAGCTTTCCAAGGGAATAGCTGGTAAGGGAAGGCATAGAGATGTGGGTTCCATCCTGCCTTACCTGTAAGCTTCATGATCTCCGTTGGGTGACCCCATTGCTTGGGTTCTTTGTTTTTATCCATCAAAATGGAGGTGGAAGATTTGCATGAAGTAATGCATGTGAGATTTCTTGGTAAATAAGGAATACAAAGTTAATGCTAATTTCTGCAGCTTTGCCAGTGGGCTAAGAATTGCCAGTAAGACCCACTGTGAGGGCTTGTTGAAATTCTCATTTATTTAGCTGAAGAAGTAGAACTTAATGGGAGAGGGGCAACTCATAGCAGATGCAGGATAACTCTGCATAACTTTTCCCTTGACGCTTGTTTCCCACAGGGGCCACCGTGCCAGTGACACTCGCCCTGATGGAGGGAACCCACTGGAGTTGAGTTGAGTTGTGCCACCATCCTCTGGCTTCTTAGGCTCCTAGCACTATTTGGGGAGAACTTCCACTAACAATCTGTGTGTTGCTATGAAAGGAATGTTTGTAAATCTCAGACTCCCCTGGGCTTTGAACCAAACTCCACTTCAGTGAAGGCATGTTCTCATTTGAGGATAGAAAACAGAATATTAACCTAGGCATCTTTAATGTGTTCTAGAAAAACCATTTACCCACTATTGCCTTCTTTCTTCATTTCTTTTAAAAGAAGGAGATGTGGTAGTGTGGGAGAAGGAATACTGACTCAGGTATTTACATACAAAATCATGGCAATTTGAGTAGGATGTGAATGGAGTTAAGAAAGGGATCTGAGTGACTGTATATGGCTCTCTCTGGAATTCTGCCCTTGTCCTTATGTGCTTCGATTCTTCTCTCTAAACCACTTGGGTCTGACATCCTTTGCTGATTGCTTGTCTTCCAGAGCCTCCCACACCCATCGCCCCCCCAGAGCTGCTGGCCGTAGGGGCCACATACCTGTGGATCAAGCCAAATGCCAATTCTATCATCGGCGATGGCCCCATCATCCTGAAGGAGGTGGAATATCGCACCACCACGGGCACCTGGGCCGAGACCCACATAGTTGACTCTCCCAACTATAAGCTGTGGCATCTGGACCCTGACGTGGAGTATGAGATCCGGGTGCTGCTCACACGACCAGGGGAGGGAGGCACGGGACCACCAGGGCCTCCCCTCACCACCAGAACCAAATGTGCAGGTAAGAACTTCATTTATAGCTCCATTTTGAGAGGTTGGGCAGTTGATCCTCTTCTTGGCATCAGTGACAATCATCCCGGAACTTCTCTGATGGGAGTGTGCCTCCTGTTGTAGAGAGCAGTAGTCAGGATTTTGGTCTTGCCTTAGAGGACTTTCGGGGTCTGGTGGTAACTCTGGAGATGGCCTAGCTTTGACTGTGATTCGTAAAGCCACCTGACTCCAGCTATGTCAGGGAGACATTCCTGGTCCTGACAGTGTTTCCAGTGGGACATTGGTTCTGTCTCTGCAAGGACTTCTGGTGTCTCCATATGTCTGAGGCTTCCTAGTACTAAAGGTGTCCCTGAGGTCTCTTGGTCTTACATCCCTGAGGGCTCCTGGCCCTGTGTGCCTTGTTAAAGGCCTTGTTTGAACTATATCCCTGAGTGCTTCTGATTCTTGTTACATATCTAAGGTGTTTGTGATTTTAACTTTGTGTGAGGATCCATGGCTGGGCCTATGACCCTAATGAGCCCTTAGTTTTCATAGTTTCCCTGAGGGTTCCTTGTTCTGTCTCTGAAGAATTCCTGGTGCCAACCAAATCTTGAGTACCTCCTGGCTCTGAAAGTGTCTTTCAGTGGATTCTGGAACCGCTTTTGTCTCTAGGAGCTTTCTGGCTCAGTATCCCTCGGAGCCTGCTGGTTCCAACCTGAGAGTCTGGACTAGAACTGTCCCTCCAAGGGTTGTCTGGATTCTGTATCTTTGCAAGCTCCTGGCTTAGTGCACTCTGGGGGCTTGTGACTCCAGCGCTTTCTCTGAGGTTTTTGGATGCTGCTTCAGAGTTTGGTGTCTGGGACTGTGTCTAAGAGGATTCTTTTGATCCAGCTGTATAAATATTCCTGGGGACTCCAGGCTTCTGGAGGAGCATTGGCTAGGATTGCATCTCTGACTGTATCCCTGATATGTTCCAGCTCTGAATGGAAGTCAAGAAGTTAAAAGAACTCAGTGTTTTGTTTTGTTTTCCTTTAAATCACATTATTTATATTTTCTCATTTTTCTTCTCTAATCGTTTGATGTAAGTACTTTTTCTTATATATACGTGAAGAGATAGAGACCCAATATTTTAAGACTTTTTGTACAAAGGGGTAGAATTGACCACTGGCACAGTCAGAATTTGCATTCAGGTTTTTCTGACCCTAATGCCATTGATCATCGGTCACACCACAATGCAAACAGAGAGGTATGCGCCATTAGCATGGAATATAGAGCTTCCACTGGTGGGCAAGGGAGGTGGCAGCATGAGCCATTGGCTTCCACTGGGAAAAGAGTCACTGATGGTTTCTGGATGGGGAGAAAAGGACTCATCAGCACAGTGACCCCATGGAACAAGAAAGGAAAGCAAAATACAGTTAGTTCGACTATAATGTGACCTCTGTGTCCCTAAAAATCACTGCGGTATGGAAAGTTATACAGTAAAAACCATCAGGGTGATGGGAAAAAGTAGGATTGGGGCACAACACTCTTACTTCATCAGTGACACATTTAAAAAGAGAGGGAAGTAAGTAAAAGTGATGGCACAGTGTCCCGCATGTTAATGGTGTAGGGTATGCATACATACTGCAGTGTATATAAGGTGTTTCCTTGAAGGGACCTGAAGTTTGCTTTGGAAATGTGTGTCAGAAAGGTTGCAACCTGTGGGCAACAGTGGTGGTAAAGAGTGCTTTCTGAACATGGTGGAAAGTCGTGACATCTGCTGTGGACGGATGTGGCTCTTAGCACGCCCAGCCGATGGACATAGCAAGTGGATGTTTGAGGTGGGTACATTCTGTGTATTCCTGTGTGTCTCCATTGAGCTGGGTGCAGTTTTCTGCTTCAGTAGTGTTTTCCATACAGAATCACATATAGCAAATGTGACATTCGTGTTATGCTCACATTGTCCCCTAATATGTCAATCATGTTGGAACAATTTGCGTTGTCAAAATAAGAGCTATAGCAGAATTGATGGTAATCATTCTTAAGTACCTCAGTAGTGCATCTCGACAGTATGGAACCCAAGGTTAGTGAGGATGTCCATTGCTTGGGAATATTCTTTTGAATGTCATCGAACCACTGATAAGTGGAAATGCCATTTTCTTGATTATTTTCAAAAGTGGGCCTTTTGTGAAATTCCTTATTGAAACCCGATTATGAAACCTACTATTTTAGAAGGACATAAGATTATGTTATTAAACAAGGTAATACCTTATCTCAGCTTTGCAATTCAGTATTCATCCATGAAAGTAATTGATTTGATCCTGCCAATGAGACTTTTCTCTTTCCATGGGGTAAATCTAAGAGTTTCCAGGGTTTTTGATCTTTATAAATGATACTCAAAGTACTTTAGCAGCCCCCATGGACTTATTTGCTGATGATCATATAATACATTTTGAAATTCAATTGCAAGATGATCATCTCAATAAACATTTACAATCTATTGCAAACTGTTGCCACGACTGTGTAATGGATTTTACATGTTGAAAACACAATTGTCTGACTGTCACTATAAAAATTATGAGTTGAAATGCTGTTTGTGGTTTTATATTTCAAAAAATGTTGGTGTTTAAGTAAGTTACAGCTAAAATCTTAAATAACCCACATTTTAGAAAATGCGTCATCAAGAACATAATCTTCTTTCCCACATTGCCACTGATGGTAGAATGTTCTTTGCCTCATAATTAATTTTTAAGTGGATTTCAGGGCTGGTATCCATTTGTGGATGCTGTTTATTGGGGTTGGTACTCTCTGAGTCCCCCCCCCCTTTCCTTTTTCTATTATTAATCACACTGGAAATATACTCATTATTTTGCAAAACAGAAAATGAGAGAATGTGGAGTGTGGAAGGTGTAATTTCTGCCCAGAGGAACTTACAGACTCAGTTAAGATTCCAGCAAAACAGCAAAAAGGGTAAAACATAAACATAAAGTCGAATATTGAAATAGCATGCTTCCTGGAGAAAAACCAGGTCGCTGTGGAAAAGCAGTGCTCTTAAAGCGGTCTGGAGCGCTGGTTCTCAAAACGTAGTCTCTGGACCAACAGCATCAGCATCACTGGGGCACGCATTAGAAATGCAAATTCTTAGGCCCCATGCCCTGACCGAATGATTCAGAAATTCTGGGGGTGGAGCTCAGAAATCTGCCCTTGGAGGAGCCCTCTGAGTGATGCTGAGGCACACCCACATTGAAGAACCACTGGTACACCGTGCCACACCAGCATGCCACTTTTGGGGTGTGCCCGTTATGTTGATCCTTAAGGCAGCTCTGAGAGGTAGATGGGAGGAAGACTAAGGCTCAGAATCATCAGACCAAGACCACAGATCACTTCAGTGTTTAGCACTAAGTCTTTTGGCCCAGGGAGCTCCCCATCATATGGTTTGATGGAGTCTACTCTCTATGCGTCCTCTGGAGCATGGGCTTGTGTAGTAGGGAGCCTGGCAATTATGCAGACCAGCCTCATGGTCTAGTCTACTGCAGACATAGGCCTTCCCGTCAAACATCTCCGGAGCCCCTTCCCTGGGCCAGACTCTGTGCTAGGCCCTGGTGGCAGAGGCTTAAAGCAGGAGCTCAGGCTACAAGTGCCCAGGTTTAGCTCAGGAAGATACCAGGGGGCCAATTCAGCAAGGGCAGGTGGGGATGTATTCTGGTTCTTCTAGGTCCGACAGGCCACTGGCCAGTTATGTCCGTGGTGCATCAGGAGTGGGGTTTCACCTTTAAGAGTGGAGATGGTCAAGAGCTTGGCGACACAGCAGCATCCTAGCCCAATAGTCTGTAGAGCTCAGAACGAGACTTTTAGCCAGAACCTGGACAGACTATCAGACGGGGCATGTGGGGGTGAGAGAAGAGGGCCAAAGACGATACTCCTAGGCTTTTGGTTTGGATGGCTGAGCGATGAGTGGTGGAACTGCTTTCTGGGATGGGAAACAATAGCTGGGTTTGGGGCAAGGGGGCGCGTTCAGGTTTGAAGATGTTATTTTTGGGGTAAAAATGCCCAGCAAGTGATGGCATTGGAAACATGGAGCCTAGGAGAGACCAGCAGGCTACCTTTTCATCTTCCCTGAGAACCACCTGATGGCACCTGCATTGTAGAATCAAAGGGACTTCTTAGTACCAGTGAGAGCAGTCTGATTTTCTTTCTTCATGCTATTCCCTGGAGATGCCCCATTCATTTGTTTGTTTGTTTTTTCATTCATCATTTTGTTCATTTTGTTCTTTTGCCCAGTTTAATCATTTGCCATCCTTCCTGAGATACAGGCATGTGGTGCATATGTGATCATGTACATCAAAGTGCTTTGAAAACCTCAAAATACTCTTCAGATGCCTGTAATAAAACAGATTATTTTTTTAATTAGATGTATTTTTTATGTTAATCACCATACATTACATCATTAGTTTTTGATGTCGTGTTCCATGATTCATTGCATATAAATACCCAGTGCTCCATGCAGTACATGCCCTCTTTAATACCCATCACCAGGCTAACCCATTATTGGTTGCTGATACTGTTCAGGATGTTGTGATTATGAATTTTTTTTCTTCTCATTGCATCCTATGGGATTGCACAGGATTTTATTTTATTTATTTATTTATTTATTTATTTATTTATTTATTTATTATTATATTACTCACCGTACATTACATCATTAGTTTTTTTCTTTAAATTTTTTATTGTTATGTTAATCACCATACATTACATCGTTAGTTTTTGATGTAGTGTTCCATGATTCATTATTTGTGTATAGCACCCAGTGCTCCATGCAGAATGTGCCCTCTTTAATACCCATCACCAGGCTAACCCATCCCCCCACCCTCCTCCCCTCTAGAACCCTCAGTTTCTTTTTCAGGGTTTATCATCTCTCATGGTTCATCTCCCCCTCCGATTTCCCCCTCTTCATTCTTCCCCTCCTGCTATCTTCTTTTTTTTTTTTTTTTATGAGAGAGAGAGAGAGCACATGAGAGGGGGGAGGGTCAGAGGGAGAAGCAGACTCCCTGC